CTTTTATTATGGTGTTGGCCTGGTGAAATCCTTATTCAAGAAAGCCAAGAAATAGGACACGTAATCTATCTCAATATACCGTGGTATAATCTTCCCCCGATTTATCAGAAATATCTTTGTTTTATGATTGTTAGGTCACAACAATATTGTCGTATCACAGCATTAACTTTCCAAACATTATCTATTTGTACATTGACAAGTGTAAGTAATATTTTATCAATTTTTTAAAGAAGAAAGAAAAAACATAAAAAATCTAAAAAAATCAAAATAAAAAAATTTTATAGTAAATTATTGAATTTCGAAAATATTATCTTTACTTTACTATTAATTTTAGTAAAATTAAAATAAATATATATATTATATTATATATTATATATATTATAAAATTAAAATATATAAAAATTAAATTATTTCAGGTATTCAACTCTAGTGCTTCATATTTTACTTTATTACGACAAATACAACAGTAAACTTCAAAAAAAAATGATAAACGCTATCTACGATTTTGTTCATTAAAAACAAATGCTAGAAAAGATAATCAAATGTACACCTCTAACCGTGTAACCGAGAATCTTTATATAATAGTTCGGATATTATTTTGTAATTAATTAAAGAAGTAAATTTTAATTTCTTATCATACCTGATGTTATTTTTCAATCGAATGTTGTCCATAATATCCAATCTAAAAACGTTCAATCGTGGAATATTAAGCAATCGTATGTATTAATTAATTTATTATAAATAAATTATATTCGCATATATTATTTTTTATTTTATATTTAACATTAAATTTTAAAATAATGTTTTTTTTCTTACATATTTCAATATGAGAACTGATATACATAAAAAATTAGATAAAAATTATCTATGATTATCCATATTATTTGAACCATTTTTAAAGTGGTAATACTGATGTTTATATTTTGCGGGAAAACTTCATTATGTTTGAATCTTTATAAATCGTTCTAACCTAACATTTTAGCGATATTAAAAATTATATTATATATTATATATATTAAAAATTATATTATATTATTTTACTTTCTATAGAAATCGTTAATCGGCAAACGTTTGACAATTGTATAACGTTTCATTCCGCGATTTGTATCTTACTAATGAAGAGAATACGATCAACATCAAAGATACATTCTGCCGAAAAAAAAAATGATGAATTTAATAAAGACGAATTGGAAAATAACTTAAAGGTTTGTTATTTTCTAATTTTTAAAATTATTGTTTCTGATAATTAAATATCAGTTTTTTTAAAATTTAGTTTTTAATATCTCTTTTTCTATTATAAGAATAATAAGAAATTTGAATAATAAAAATTTTCTCTTTTTTTAAAAATATTTTTTTAAATTATTTAATTTAAATTGTATGTATAATTTCTTGTACTTTTTAATATAATTATTTAATTATTTATTTGAATTATTCTTAAATAAAATAATTAAATTATTCTTAAATATTTTCGTTAGGATACTGAACATCATTCTTTGGTCAAAAATAAAAATTTACAAAGTCAGAAAATAACTAATGTAGCAGAAATATTAAATTCTTCATCAAAAGATGTTCAAAATCATGAGCAGAATGAAAAAAATAAGCTTAATTTAAAAAGTTTAAGAGATAGTAAGTTTTTTAGAATAATATCTATATCTTATATTATAATATCTACATCAATATATACTTTATATAATTTATGTATATAGGAAAAAAGAAAGTTAATGAAGAATATGAATTAAGTATACCTCCTCCAAAAAATAAAACAAGAGCAGTTGTGGATCTTAAAATGATGAAAGAAGAATTAAAACAATTGGAAGATCCTCCATTGACTGTATGGGAAAAAGAAATATGTTCAAATAGACTACCATATTCATTTTTTGATTGTCCCTGTGAAGAATTAGCTCAAAGTTTATTAGGTAATAATTATTTAATTTTTATATAATATTATAATCTTATATTAATGTATGCTTATACATTCAGGAAAAATATTAGTTCGTTGTTTAGAAAATGGAACTATTTTAAAAGGTAGAATTGTTGAAACAGAAGGATATTTAGGAGTAATTGATAAAGCATCTCATACATATCAAAATAAAGTTACTCCTCGTAATATACCAATGTATATGCCACCAGGTACTATATATGTATATATGACATATGGAATGTATCATTGTTTCAACATATCTAGCCAAGGTGAGTGAAAAATAAAAATTAATTTTAAAAAATAAAAACAAAATCAATATAATATTATATTCTAAATGATAAAAAAAACTGGTTGGTATTAAAAAATATTTAGAGTCAGGAGCACATGTATTAATTAAAGCAGTTGAACCTATGCTTGGCCTTGATTATATGGAATTATTAAGAAATATGCAATCAGAAAAAAATAAAAAAGAAAAGAAAATTGTAAAAAATGTCAGAAGCTTTAAAAGATATGAACTTTGTAACAGTCCAACTAAAATTTGTACAGCTTTTGTTATTGATGAAGATAGCTTCAATCAAAAAAAGATTTATGAATGTAGTGATTTATGGATAGAATGTGATCCTCATATAAAATCAACTACTATTGTAGCAGCAAATTCTGATGATTCAAATAATGAACAAAAAATGTGGAGATATTATGTATTAGGAAGTTCTAGTGTTAGTCATAGAGATATTAAATGTGAAGAACATGCTTATAATATATAATAATTAAAAAATATAATTAAATATAATTATTTTAATAATGATTTTCATTTTAATATTTAATTCTCTTCCATAAAAAAAATCTGATAAGATTTTAGGTGAAGGGTGTGCTGTTTTAATAAGAGCTGTTGAACCCTTAGAAGGTATTGAATACATGACTAATCAACGAACTTCAAAGGGATTATCAAATACATCTAAAAAACTTTCAAAAGTTTTAAAAACATATGAGTTATGTAATGGCCCATCAAAGTTATGTATAGCTTTCCAGCTTCATAAAAATCATAGTAAATATTCTTTATGCTCTTGGAAAAGTTTGTGGATTGAAAATGATGAAATAGAAGAAATCAATATTGTCAAATGTCGTAGAATAGGTATAGATAATTATGGAGAAGAATGGACAAATAAACCTTTACGATATTATATTTATGGGAATAAAGCTGTGAGTAAAAGAAATAAAGAAGCAGAATTACATTTGGGATTGAATTAAAAAATTATTATTATTATTAAATTATTATTATAATCTATTATTTTGGACATATATAAATTAATATTTTTTAATGTGATTTAGTGTTTTAAAAATTTATATTTTGAATGTACACACTTAATAATATACTCAAAATTAATTTTAAGTTACAAATAATTATAATGCATGTATGAAATAAATAATCTTTAAGTATGAATAAAGTATAATATATACTAAATAAATACATTTATACAATATAGGAAGTTTTAAAATATTTTAAAATACTTCACATTTTTCATATCCATTCCTTCATTACTCTTTCATAATCTTCTTCTTCAATAAATGGTTTATCTATAGATCTGAATATGAAATATGAATTTTACATTAATCTATCTGAAATATTAAATATGAATTAATAAAATAACTTACTCTATCATAAGTTCTCCGCAGTATAAACATTCAGAGGCTACTAATTCATCAATATCAGTTTTTATTTGATCTTTTGTAGATAAAGATACAGATCCAACTGATCTAGTATCTTCAGGTCTGTTTGAAAGAGCAGTAAGTTGTCGTTGAAGATCAGCTAACTTTGTTCTCTGATCCATTGACAACATAGGTGTTAATGCAGCTACAAGACAATCACTATGAAATCTGTGTCCACATGGAAATACATAAAAAGGTCGTAATAATAATTGAACATTACAAGTATTGCATGTGTCTTTTGTATTTACGAACGTACATCTAAAAAAATTTTAATAATATTACATCATTAAATAATTTATTGTTATTTTTATTTATTTACCTCGTTCGGAATTCTTGTATATCTTTTCTAATAAGTTCTGCTGCTTTTGTTGCTTCTTGCATTTCTTCCTTTAAATCTTGAATATGCTGATTGTACTCCTATCAAATATAATATTAAGATAAATATATTTATCTATAATGAATATTTAATCAATTATATTATATATTTAATTAATTATATTATATTCAATAATTATATTATATTTAATAATTAAATCTTTTCAATTATTTGTATATCACATTCAATAGATAAAAAGACTCTGAGTTTCTTAAAAATTGATTTTGCTTTTCTTAACTTATATTAATAACTATTAAGGGAAACTATCAAAATATATGATTATATTATCATGCATATTATTTGTAAAATTATTTACCTGTAATGAATTGCAAATAGCATCTTTAAAATGATCTATAGTAACAAAATCTGAAAAAAAAGGTAGTATATCTTCTATTTTGACTATATCGCAATGTTGTAAAAATTCCATTGCTTGTTGAATATCATCTTTTTCTCTAACCACATGCTCAGCTAAAATTAAAACAATTAGAAATTTGAATTAAAATATAAAATTTAAAATTATTTATATTCTTAATTACCAATTTTTAACCATAATTTTTTCCTTAATTCATGATCTGAAGGCATAGCAGCTATTTGTTTAGCAAGATCAACATTAATTGTTAAAGCTAAATCAACTGCTGTTGTCCATAATCCAAGTAAAGCAGATAACTGTACACAAGCTTCTGTTAAACCAACTTCTTGACATAATCGTAATGCATAATGCACATCATAATGTACCATATTTATATCTTGTCCTAATTTAAATTTTCATTAGAAATATTATACTTTTAATGAAAATATATCACTTAAAAAATCACCTTGAGAACTAATATATCGCATTACTTCATCTCGTTTATAACGGGCATATAAAGACAATAAAAAATTATGAATTGCTTGTTCTTGACAGCTTTGTTTATAAACGCAGAATTCTAAATATCTGATTACTTCTTTTGCCTATAATATTAAATACTAATTGATTGTTATAAAATCTAAAACCTAAATAAAACTAAAAAAAAATATATCTTACATGTTTTTCATCACTATTACAAGATACTAAAGCTGGAAGAAGCTTAGATGGTTTTAATAAAGAACCTTGTGATATTAAGGCAGTCATTGTAGGGCGTGGTAATTCTTGTAAAAGAATACCAGCAAACTGATAAAATAGTTCTTTATTATTTTGACTTTTTAAAAGCTCAAGAGCTTCTAAATAATTATTTTTATATAAATGTTGACGTATTACTTCTTCATAATTACAATGCATTATTGTTAAACGAATAAGATTATCTTTATCACCATGACTTGTCATTAAATCATATATAGTGCTACGATTTCTTTTTATACATTCCTAAAATTAAAATAATTTTTTTTATAATCAAATATTTTTTAATAGAAAAATATTTAAAAGATATAGACATTAATTAATACCTCAACTTTTGGTATTGCAAGAAAACTATCAAATTGTTTCTGCA